ACCACAGTGATGTTTCTCCTCAATTTTTTAGGATGAGTCAACGCGATAGGTTGTGAAGATTCAAAAGACGCGTGATAGTTAGTAGTCCGATTGCAAGAAATTTGTAACTGATTGAAGCAGCAATATAGCATCAAACTAAAGCAGCATATGAGTTTATGGGAAACGGTACTTTGAATAGCCTGAAGTCCATCAGTCCACCTGCCAGCTCCCCGGTAGGATGAGCAGAAAATTAAGAGGTGGTACTAGGCGGTTGGAAAGCGGATTGTTAGTTGCCTTTTTATCTTTGCATAATCTTCTGAATCCATTCTCCTCAGTCAGTCAAAAAGGACTACCACTGCTTTCTCCAAATAGGTCGTTATCAGCTGAGAAGCTGTCACTACAAGAAGACACGTAGTGCGTTATCATGGTTCCTCTTGAACTATCAGGCCTTCCCCTCTGATATGTAGCATAGTGTTCAAGCTGCAAAGGAGGTTCGCTGCACACATCAGTGTTCCAGAGTTGATTACTGATGAAGTGGTTGTATGTTTTGCTATCCTCGAAATCTAAATCCTGCGGGGGTTTTGTTCGAATAACAGGCTTCTTGGTGCCCAAACATTTACCTGTTTTTGTCTGACCAATGGCATTCATATGGTCCGGACCTCTTAAACGAAACACTGTAGTAACGTTAGGCGTTTGCCCTCCATTGTTGGAATGGTTTTTCCTTTAGCAACTTATCAAGCTCAACATAGCTTTTATCATGCTGGACAAATATACTAAAAAAATTCGTAATAACAATGGGGATAACAAAGCTTTATTTCAGACAGCATTCGAACATATGGTACAAACATTTTTGGTGACTCCAAACTATAGCAGCCCGAAGCGAAACTACTAAATAATAGCGTTGACACATCTCTGACGACTAACCAGGTGCGTCCGAGGCGGAAGGGCGTAATTTGAAAAGAACGGTTATAAATGAGTAATACAACTTTAAAAAGTAGTCACATAGAGCAGCCTCCTTGTATACGTTTCGAGAAGAGCTTTCAATTTCTCATAGGAATCCTCATAATTAGTTAAAGTCAATTTCTTGAAATTGTCAGCGTATTTAGTTTCAAAGTACTTTTCTTTATACAGGATTTACATGCACATTTTTAATCTGAAGTGTATCTTAATTTCGTTGAGGAATTGCGCAACGTTTGCTTGGAAGCAATGAAACAGCCTGCAAGCCCATGTATAGGTTATGTGATATGACTGGACGGCTAAAACAATGATAAACCCAAGTGAATTGAAGCATTATGGTGGGAAGAAGTTTCGTTAGCCCAGTAGTTCAAGCGGGCTGCCTTAATAATGATGATGGTACGTGTTACGCAACACAGATTTGTGATATTTGGGGAGGGGGAATTAGGTGAAGTGCACTCACTGCTTATAGTAATTGCACTTAGAGGCTACACCTTTTTAATGGCTACGCGCCTGCAAGCATTTTACTTGTAGTCCGGTAACACTTCCCTTATGATTTTATTTCTGCGCCTACTAATTTGATCTAATGTTCTCAGTGTTGTCATTGCGTTCAAGCAGTGTACATCACAACTTTGCTCTCTTTGCACCGGTTTTCGAAGCGAAACATAGCTCGAAGATGACGCAAATAGTGGATTTTAGATCATTGTAGCCTTCTCAAACGAATTCGAGGCCTGCATGAACTTTCTCTAGAGTGTTAGTTGACCTGACTGGAGGATTTCCCAATAAGTCACGGCGGTCACACTGTTCTGATGTAAAACCTACATCCTCTTCAAAATAGAATACCGAAATTCAAGAAATTATAAGTTTTAAATGAGCATGTCATAATGACCACTCCCCAAATAAACCCGGCTATAGTACTAGGGAAGCTGCAGAGAATCAAATCTGGAAAGTCCCCAGGTTGTGACGACATCAGGCCATCTGTTCCGAATCAGTGCGCTGAAGTTCTCTATAGGCCCCTATGAAACTTGTTACAACATTTGATGGATTCAGAGAAACCGGCAAGAGATTGGAAAAGAACCAAACTTTCTCTGATCTTCAAGGGTGAAGACATGCAAAATGCCACCAGTTATAGACCAGTAGCTTCACTCCAAATGGTATCAAAAGTACTAGAGAGTATTATTGATGATCACATAGCAGAGCACCTCGATAGGACTAAGAGACTCCATGAAGCACAACACGGTTTCAGGAAAGGCAGGTCCTGTGTAACAAGCCTACCACCACCTTGGGATGACTGGACATCATGGTGGGATATGAATATTCCAATCCATATGGTCTTCCTAGACTTTGAGAAGGCATTTGATATAGTTCACCACGACTTCCCCTTGCACACAATAAGTCGGGCAGACCACACCATGAAGTGCATAATATCATTGCTCCCCACTGCTTAGAAAGGACGCAAAACTTTTGGAAAAAGCCCAAAGGGAGTGATGGGTTTTCGGAACAAACCGCATGGTGAACGGCTAAAGAAATTAGGTTTCTTCACACTTAGCCACCGTAGGACTAAGGAGGTTTGATTAATTCCTACAGGATAACAAATGACTAGAATCACCCACTAGAATCCCACTTCTTTTCACTGAGGGTTTTCCGTCCCCGGAACTCCTTCACGGCAGTTGCAGCTGCGGCACCGTCCGTCGACAGCTTTAAGCGAAGGCTGGACAATCATGCATCTCCATAAGGACTGCGTCCAACCTTGAAATCCCATGCACAATTCATGGGTAGACAACTAAATTTGTCGTTTCACTTCTTTACATTCCCTACTGACTACTCCAACTACTACACTTACACTTATTATAATTATTGTTGTTATTGATATGTATATAGTATATACGTATGTATGTATAGATATGTATATATATCAACTTCAAATTTAATTAGCTGTCTGCATTTATGTTTCCTCGAATTTTCCGGTTTGGACTCCGGGGTTCTATCCCTTAATAATAATAATAATAATGTATTTCATATAAATTTACAAATTTACATGAAAATGCATGCCATTTTTACAGGCACGATCAAGTATGATATAATATCAAATCGTAGATTGTCTACAAGTTAATCGTATTTCAACTGTTAAATATTCGATACATATAATACACTCATTTTCTGAATTAGGCCGTATAGTTATTGAATTGTACAGTTGTCCTCCAGGTTGAGCGGGAAAATCGACTTCGTTCCGTTTTCATCCCGTGGTTGTAGGCATACGATAACCAACCGATATTGAGGTAAGTACACCTTTTACAAGGGATTGGAATCTGTTTTAGAAAAATTAAAGTGCTGAGGTGAATCATTAAATTGTAATGAAATAGGTAAGTGCAAGTATCATTAATAAATGCATTAATAAAGGAAACACCCTAGGGTAACAACATTCATTTGCAATGTATAATGCTACAGATATATCACAAACTATCATGATATCAACTTTTGGTTTTAATACAATTATCCTCATGCCAGTTGTTTTTATTTTATACCTTTTTGTGCATTTAGTGCACTACCGTACCCTTCAGAGAGTAGGAGTATAATAAGTAATGAAGAGCTATAAGATGTTAAGTTTAATGGAGTAAAATGAGGATCAAGTAAAGACGTTGTCAGAAAATAAATGAGATAAGACATTGTGGAGTGGTATGAAAAGATCTGACGATAGACAGCAAGTTAATTTATAAGATGCCCCATAAATCTGAGCAGATCCCACATGGTCGCATCTCAACAATAGGCTGGGTGAATGGTATATATTTAAAGGTAGAAGCATGATCTGTCAAGGCGTTCATTGTTATCTTTTTCAAGATAAAGATTTAAGCCCTCATAAAAATCAGAAATATCTCGAGCCTTCAAATTTTTTAATGCTGTTCCTGCAGAATGGGGCGATTCACCTTAGTGTCCACCACCATATCTACTGATCAGCTAACTCCACCCTCCCACCTTTTTTGATGTTAGGCTCTGAGACTATGATTATTATGGTTACCGCATATATATTGCTTGGTACCAGACATGTTAGTACCCCATATCCCATCTCCCTAGCTTTCTTAATGAGTGCTTCCAATAGGTCCCCGCGTACATCTTTATGAACATATTATATATGTATGCATGCGTCCTAATGAACAGATTACTTTATAAGAAGACAAAAACCTTGAAGAATAACAAGAATAGGTTTTGTGAATAGTGGAACAAGATTCAGCAGAACAATATAGTTAGGGTTCAATATAGGTAGTATGAACTGAAGGTAAGGTCGGTTGGCAGGACCAAGTGTACTAAATTATCATGACAGTTTTATATATAGTAAACATTTGACATTGCAAAGTAACCTGTCTACATATATTATAAAAAGATATTAGCAGAACCAACAAAATTTCAGCATTTGGTTAACAATACTACAGAAAGTTAGTGAGTCTTACAGGTAGCCGTAAAGTAAATCAATCTATATACAATAAGAGTGTAATCATTGTTATAATTCGTATTATCAAAGAATACATTAGGCTCAAAAACTGAATGTTATAAGGGAAATAAGAGTGATAAACTAAGAGAACATTTGCTGCGTAAGTAATCATTGCCGACGCACACCTGATATCTATGTTTGGCCTTCGAATTTGAGCTACCGATATCATATGCTGGATATTCCATACTTGTACCAAAAATACCGTATGGTTTCAAGCTGTAATCAAAAATTAAAAAATTAAATAACCTACACTAATTATGTCTGTTATTATTATTTCTACTATTATTTCTCTTCTCTTTTGTCGACGACACTGGGGGAATAAGTGATGAAAGGATCAACTCCATTCACACTAGCAACAAAGTTTTGACACACTGCATACTACAAAAAACATATAATTAATCCTAGCATCACTCCTTTTGTAGTCGACTAAAGCTACGACAATCGAGTGGCGGGACGAACTAAGCAGAAGTTCACCGAAGAACAGGAACATTTACCTCATAATCAATAAGCGAGCACAAAGAAATAAAATTGGTTTATAATAACTCGTAAAAATGATATTGGACATTGAATCGGTTAGTTACGAATAAGTTGGACATTGAAGCGCTGACCTTGAGGAAAATTGGAATTGGTCTAGGTCATTATATCCAAAGCCGACTGTATGTTGTGCATCCGCATTTTCATTTGCATTTGCTCTACTGTATACATAATTTTCTTGGCATTTTTGGTTATAACCTACCGTTATTTTATTTGAACTAGTAGCTCCCTCAAATCTATATAAATGACAAAATTATCCGCATAATCATACCTGCTATGTGGGTTGACTCAAATAAGAAATCGGGGCAATTTTGGAGTAACTCAATATTGAAACTTGGGAGACATTTTGGGAATATGTAGTATTTTCCCTCGAAAATCCCTGGACTTCCCCTAAAACACTAGAAACCCCCCAAGTCCATAAATTAGCCACGAAACTTTCTCTGAACACCCCTCAAAATCCTTTGAAACCCTGAAAATACCCTGAAATGTTTTATTCGGACGCTATCCATTAACTGAGGCACTTCTGCAACATGACTGTGCTCGAACATCAGCAACTAACGTTCCACTGCTGGCCAAGCTCATCGCAGTATAGATGTAATAACAGTAAATGCCAAGATAATGCCTAAATATTTTGTGTACTAGTCACATTATTTTTGTAGTGGCTGGATTGTTTAAGTGCACAGTACTTTTTACTCTCATCAAAAGATATTAGATGTATTTGAACTGCACTGCCAAATCAGAGGACGAAGGAGATTGTTACCAGTCCGCCTACAGTGATATGATAAAGATGATCATTAGAGTTTATATAAAATTTTAAAGTAAATCTTTCATTACTAACCGCACTTGTATCAGCTGCGTCAAATGCCACATTCTCGTCAAGAATTTTAACAACATTTGTACACACTGGTAATTATATTTGGATGTAAAAACTTATAGTTTAGTCCAGTTGAAGAAAGCATCAGACTTTGCAAGGCATGTGAGCGTTAAGACTTTAAAATTACGGAAATATTTGGGCACAGTAAGATGTATTTGCTTTGTGAAAAGCTGTTAGTAGTAATGTATATGTAAATGTAAAGATATCTTGCACCTACTTCCGCTATGTCTCACGACCGTAAATTAGGATGGAATAAACTACTGTATAGCACACATGCCCTTTGATAGGTAGTCAGATATTACAGTTGCACAAAAAATGACACCAGTTAGCCAATACAAAAAATACCGTTATTTGACCGTACTGAGACTTTATCAGGAGTCGATCCACTAAAGACTGAAGCGATTTCCGAAACAAGTGAATTGGTCAACTTGATCAACCGTTTCAATCTCCGATCATTAAACTAGAAGTCTGTGAAGACTAGGCCAGCCACATCATTATACATTTGATACGTGTAAGTCACATGCTAGACATACTTCAGTTTTCGCCCAGTGTCTAGAAGACTGCATGTTTTCAGTCTTCATCTGAACGAATTATATCACATGCGTACTCCTGAGAGCAAGTTAGTTCCTGAAGCTTCGAAGTCGACCAAAGTCACATCTGCCAGTAAATTTATATTGAAATTATATAATGGTGAAAATTGGAATTCCTGACGTGTACCGTGGGTTTTCGTCATTTCACACGATAACTCTTCATAAGCACTCACATGAATTTGAGTGTTGTACTTTGATCAGTACAATAAACTTTCCCAACGCTCCATTTATAGACAAAAAATGCCAGGACGCCTATTGATGGAAGGAGTTAAATGCCGTCTTAGGGTCAGGAAATATAGCGTGTTGGACTTGATGAGTAAATATATCTATGTTTCAGAATGTTCTGATGTTTATTATTCTTGTCAGAAATGCCATAGTCAATATTCTTATTGTCTTTGTGTTAAGCAACTCGTAGTGCAAATTTCAAGTATCTTGGCTTTGTCTATTCGTTATCGATTTCTAATTCTTTCTAAAATAATGAGTACTGATACTTGACAGCTAATGTACATTTATTTGTACTTAACAGCAAACGTCAGTACATGGATCCAGATTCAAACTTGTAGCTTACTGGTTAGAAGTCGAGGCTCTATTATTTTTGTCAGTTATGCTCCATATTTTTAATCCGGAGTTCTTTTGATACCTTTACTCGTTTTGGCGAAGTTTCAGTCATATTAGAAACTTTAAAATACTCATAATTTACTGTATCAAAAGTAGCCACAGTCCTTGAGGATGACTTCCATTCGTAATCTTAAAGTATAAACCTTTAGAATCGTAAAATTGTTAAATTTTTCGATGAATTATATACATATAATGACTGTATCTTTCATATTGAATAGGTCTTCTAATTCACTCGTCGAATAGCCAATGAATCCGAACTACCCTTCGGGCCTCATAGGATTCGGATGGAATACAGGCCAAAATGTCACTCCTGCGCCACGATGGGAACAACCTCAGATTGGATTCTGCTTTGATTCACCAAATCCTCCAGCTCCTGAAGTTCCTCCACCTATTCAAAATCGTGGTGTAGTCGGTTTCAACGTTGATCAAATACCGGTAGATCCACCTTCAGCATACTCTTTCCCTGCTAACAATCCTCAGTACCGTGTATCTGAAGACAATTTTCGTAATAGTGTCCCACCACCACCAAGACCAAGTATTCCTCCTACCATTAGATCCAATTCACCGAAACCATATGGTGGAAATGATGAGTATAGATCAGTTACCCCAACAGCTCCTCCTGAACCTTCATCTATACCTATAAGTTCTAGTCCGAGTAGTGAAGCAGTACACGTGATCACAATCAGCAAACCTGACCCTTATAAATCTCGTAAGTTATACTTTTCAACTGAAATTTATAGTCTTCAAAAAGACAGCTTTTATATTTGTAAAACTCATGATATTATGATGGACTGGCACCTATGCATTAGGAAGTTTTTTAAAATAGTTATTATAGCAAGTAGACATTTTGCCTTTCTTTTATTTATAAGTCATTAGAAAGTTTATGGAAGGATTTGTGACAAGTAATCTAACTGTATCTCATATCTTGAGTATTAACAATTCCTTGTGGGTTGAAATAAACTTTCTACAACGATGGCATTTTGAAAAAAAATACTGTAGACGTATTAAAAAGCTTTCAAGCTCATTTTTTACATTTTCTGCTGCTACTGGAACTGTAGATATGTTGTTAGATAAGTTATTCAAGTTTCAGTCTTCTATTCTTTATTATTATTCCCTTGGGTTCCAAGTGGAACATAGGGCTTCAACAACACATCTCCACTTCGTTGTATTTGGTGCTTTCCTCTTCAGCTGGGCCCACGATTGCCCATAATCTCTCATCTCCTCCATGTCACCCTCGCACTCGTCGCTACCTATTGGGATTCCACTCAACAGGTGGCCTGCACTGCGCGCGATATCATTCAGCGGCCTCCTCAACGTATGGCGGATCCATCTCCATTTTCTCCCACATATTTGTTGAGCAGTCGGCTCTTGGTTGGTTTGTTCATTGTCAGAGTTTCTTGTTGCTAATTCTTTCTGACCGGCTGGCCATTTGGTCTTCAGTGTGGAGCCAACGAAGGAGGCAGCCGTTGATAAAAGTCTGCAGCAATCTGCTGGAAATACTTTTCGTGACTCACGCGCAGTACAAGTTTCTGACCCGTATAGAAGAATTGACTGACTGACTTCACATTTGTGTTAAAAATTCGAATCTTGTTCTCTACGCTGAGTGAAGTAGAAGATCTCCAAACTGATTTGACATCATCCGTGATGTCACCAGTAGTCGAAACGATGCTGCCTAGCCGGATAAGTGAACGAAGTAACCTCTTTCAATTCTCTCCCGTTGATAGTGATTGGTGCTGGTTGTCGTTGCTGCTGCTATTGGTTGGTTACCTTCATCAATCTCGTCTTCTCTATGTTCACTTGAAGTCCTGTTTTCGCTGCTGGTCTCTCCTGCCAGTTTGTTGGTTTTCGCCTGCAAGTCTTCAAGCTTGTGTGTCATCAGACATAAATCATCCGCCGCGAAATCCAGATCTTCTGGAGTCTACTTATCGGTCCAACATACTCCTGTCTTCTCGCTCCCCACACGTGGTCTTCCACCACAATTAGGAATGTCATCATCGATGATAACAGACAGACAGCCAGCCTTATCTTACTCCTGTATTCACTTCAAAGGCAGACTTTACTGAGTTTCCCGTTGTGGATCACCTGACACGTGGTAAGCATTGTCATATAGCCAGCTGTTGAATGAGGTTGATAAAGACTTGGGGCATTGTACGTACATTCCAAGTCCCCAATCTTATTCTTGCTTTCATCGAGGGAAGACACATCAGCTGACTAGCTTCCCGAAGGCTTTCATCAGCCCACAGAGTCATTTTACCTCTTCGATTCCAGCGAAGAATAGGTTTGTGTTTTTTGCATTTTTTTATTGTTTTTCTTGTGCGTTGAAGTTTCTCTAGCAGTATGATAAGTTTAGTGGTGTAGGGTTGCTAACCCTAACCATGGCTTGGGACCGGCTAGTAAACTAGGTGAGGTTCGTCTATTCTTAGTTTTCTGAAATCGAGTTTTAAAGATAAATTGACAGTATTGTCAGGATGTTAGTATTGTATTATCTACTCCCTGCATTCTAAGTGAAGAAGTATTGAGCCTCAGTGGCACTCACTGGCTCCAGTGCACTCAGCTAATTGGCATCACTTTCAACTGGATACACAACTGTCTACAGGCCTTCATTTTCTCCTCACAACGTGATCTTTTCCATGTCACTCTTGGACGTCCACCACTTCGCTTCTCCCATTTGAGGAGCTGCTTGGCGTGTGGTATCACTCCACTGTCTTCTCAGAGTATGCTCAATCCGTATCCATTGCCTTCTGCATAGTTGTTAGGATATTACCTCGTATAATTCTCTAATACAGATTCTACAAGTTGCTAATAATAATAATTTTATGGAGCTGTTAAAAATGTTCATTGTAAAAACTTCAAGAATTCCTGTCCCGCTGTGATCACCTAAGCATATTCTTCGAATAGTCTCTAGAAAGTATTTTTCTTCGGTGTCTAATTTCTGTTCAACTTATTCGGTAGTGTTGACTCAGTGAAACGCCTCAAAAAAATAGTTTGCAATGATGTAAATGTATCCACATAATAATGATTACAACAACCATAGTAATCTGCTATATTCCAAAACAGACAATACTTGTAATACAGCATGGCATTTTCAGCATTTGTCACAGTATTGCATCTAATTTACTTAAAATATGGATAAAATTAACCACAGGAACTTTTCTACATTTACGGTAGGAATAAAGTAGAAAATGTGCCAAATATAAAATGAGATTAATAGCTATACTAATAATACTAATAATAACAGTGGGTTTGTTTCGAACAGTATTGTCGATACACTATGGAAATCTTAGCATGTTATGGAATATTGAATCTAGTGTCCTCTTGACATAGCATGGTGAGGAGAAAAACAAAAAAAATAAATAACAATTATTACAGGGCTTAAATGATGTTTATTTACACTTATGAAAAAATCAACAAAATAGTGAGAGGACTATGAATATAACAGGAATGATAACAGCAGTAAAACGTGACTGCATAAAGATGGATAAAATTGTTTATTCACTAGTGGAGAGAAGGTTAATTAGTCAGTTAGTTCGTGCCTGACACTATTTACATCACATAAAGTACGTGCCACAAAATATGGTATCGTGGAATTTCTATGCTTAGACGCGAGCGTGTGTAAATTTTTTTGTTGAAATGACTTCTTGTTCTATCTGAAGAGGTGCAGCAAGGTGAAATCTGCGGGTAGTGCTGTGGATGCTCACAGTTTGACAAAATCCCTTCAGCAAATTTGTTGCATGAAATCAAGTGCCTATCGATAATGACGATGTTGAAATTATGGCCTAACGGGATACCACCACTCGCTCCACTAACAGTCTTCAGAGTCCCAGGAAGTATGACAGTCTTTTTTCAACAACCCAGGAAAGAATAAGGGTGAAAAATAGGGAAGAACGGGTAAGATGCAAGAGTTGACCAACTGTAAGAGGAGGAGGGGTTTGAGTTATGCCTGAGTGCCTTAACTTCCTAACGTTTAAGACCATTTGTTGACTCCTGATAGAAAGCTGTTCATCTTAGTACAGTCTAGCTGGGAGTTAACAGACATTGAGATAGTTCGACCGTCCGCATATTTAACAAAGTTCATATCATCTGCAAAATTCTAAACATTTTTCACTCATTTCCATCTGACTTTTATCTGTCACATGCATGTCTGTCTGTCTGTTGTAGTATTACCTTATTTCTCTCCTCGTTAGTGTTTTAAATCAGGTTACAAAGTGCTCCTGGAACTGGTGTGTATACCCTTGCGTAAAGTTATACATTGGTGAGTTAGTCAATCACATCTCTTTACGCCAAAATAGTGTGAATGCTTTCAGGATGTACATTCTGAGTTTCAAATTTGGTTGGAAAACAGACTGTAGTTGAGTTTTTGTGGTGTTAGTGGAAGACGTAATTATGTCTAACTTAAACGTGCAAAATAAACTATAAAAATCCATGGTGGGCACTAAAGATTTCCTTCTTGTTTAGAATTCTTCATTAAGATGCAGTGAACATTACTATTCCGCTGATGAAGTAAAACTCAATAATGCACGATATCCAATTTATGTTAGCTCATTGAATGCATATTTAAAGGTTTAATAATCTTTCAAAATGTACAATGTATGGGACAGCGTTAGTTAGTTAGTCAAGTAGACTGGAGATGATATCAAGATTTTCGGTAATAGGGATACTAGCATATAATGAGTTAATATCGTAGCTTACCATAATGTCTTCTTTATCAATTTCTCGGTGTTCTATTTGGGATTTGAAATCATTTGAATTCCTTACAATATTTCGAGTGTCCTTTTGTAGTGGTTGTAGTACCGAGAGTAAGTATTTAGATCGGTTGTATATCGGTGAGTTGGTGAAATCTATTACTGGTCTTAACGGAACTGTGGGTTTTTGTATCTTTGGTTGACCGTAGAATCTTGAAGGTACATAAGATTTTGGTTTTAGTTTAAATCAGAGAGAATTTCCAATTTTGGATTTCATTTCTTGAAGGAGTCTGTTTGTATTTAGTTTCATTTTGTTGAATTCGGCGGATTTCTTCTTCTCTTCAACAAGTAAGTATGGTCCTTCAGATAGGTGTTCAATCTCCTTCTTTTCATAATCCGTTCTGTTCATTATCACAGTGACGTTTCCCTTGTCGGCTTTCGTTATAACGATGCTTTTATCTTTCTTCAAATTTCTTAAGGCTTCATATTCTTGTTTGGTGAGATTAGATGGTATGTTTCGTTGTGTCATTAATATGTGTGATATCTTTTGACGAACAGATTGTGATTCTTCATTGGTGAATTGTTGTAGAGCAGGTTCGATCATAGGTGCTATTTCCTGGACCGATAATGGCTTTCTAGTGATATTGAAATTCAGACCTTTCTGTAGTAATGAGATTTCATTTTCGGTTAGTATCTTGTCTGACATGTTATGTATGGCTCTAATATTCTTCATATCATTTGCTGAGGTTTTCTTTGGTTGTTTCTTTTCTTCGAGTTTCAAGAATTTTTGTATTTGTCTTCTTTTAGTGACATTATGAAAATAAGATTCTCGTTCATTAAACAATTTTTGGAAGTACTCATAGTTATGGCTTGTAACAAGTAATGTTAAACAGTCGTCTATATTTTTGATTCTCGTTCGATAAGATTAAAGTTTGACGTTGCAGTTATGTACTCTTTCTCGTAAAAATACTTTGGAGGTATGATTTGCGGCAAGTGTGGATTTGTGCGAATATTCGAGAGGTTTAACTCGTAGTGACTTTAGAATAATTTCACTTTGTAGACAGCGTGCGTTGAAAATACGATGATTATAGAAGTTACATTTATGCTTCGATAGAGTAATCCGGTTTTTAATTAAGTTATATATGCGTAAACCAAGTTCACTTTTAACAGTTTGAAAAAATTTGGGCATTGGGTATATGATATTCATTATAATAAAGGTTTTTGTATTTCCCAATGAATGAAAAACAAAACGATATTGTTTTTCATTCATTGGGAAATACAGAAACCTGTATTATAATGAAAGTCAAGTACTTAAACCACTGAGCCTTATTTCATACTCTTGAACTGACGGATTGGTTTCCATAGAATATAGAACTTTGAACAGATATGCAGTAGTTCCACCTAGTTGCCACTCACCCTCCATGTACTACACAAACCAAGAGAAGAGAGTAAAGAGAGGTAATAAACACAAGGGTGAAGGGGAAAAGAATGGTAAGTAATATGGAAGAACAATAGAGTTTTATTGGATATGACTGACAAATCACAAAAAGAGTGAATGCATCTGCTCTGTCATTGACAACGAGGATTTTGAGCCATATCACCAATGATCTGCAGGCATCGTTGATTCTTACTATCCCGAGGACCCCAACCACAATGCCAGTCTACACCCCGCTACGTGTTTGACCGGCTTAAACTTACTGTTATGGATTTCACTGACTGACGAAGCCAAGTTTTGCTTTGATCATCATTAACTTTTGTTCAACCTAATCAGTGCTATGTCAGCTAACATTGCCCGTTGTCGAGGAGGGCGATAAACTGACATCAGTTGCTAAGCTGCATGAAATCAATCAACTTGTTGAATACTTCATTCTAACAACATGTTTCACTAAATAAGTGTTAGTAGTTGGGGGAGGGTGGCAATCAGCAGAATCTAGGTTTCGTTTCTATGGATCCTCGTCAGCAAGGATTACCTACAACCTCAGAAGAAATGATTTCTCTTCGAAGACCTAGACTAGTGTCACCCAGTGTTGCACAGTTAGATAAGTTACAACTCAGCTATCCAGGATCTCACGATCATCGATCTTCTGTAAGACTTTTATAGATAAGCTGATCAGTTACACCAGTCAGTAACCAGCACATCACATTTCTAGTCCTGTATTTCAGTTCTAACTGGGTTCTTTCTGTCAGTTAAAAGATGGTAACATGGTCACTCCGTATTTCACTATTCTTCATCGAATGCAAACGTCGTAGAGCTTCACTGAGGAGAATAAAGTCAAGTGCTGGAGTAAATACAAACACCGCATTCTATTTGTTGTATTTAACTAGAATTTAACTTCACTACACTGAAGCTCATTATTTCAAGTCTTCATACTCTAATACATGAAATCCACAAACACTGTATGTTATAGCTTTAATTAAAATGTTAAGGCTTAACTTTTAAATACCTTGTGTGTGTGTCTATATGTACCCTATACAAGGTTACACTTGCTCTGTAGTGTTTGTTGTCACACTACACACTGTACTTTAATTTTTCAATTGTTGATTAATAAAATGCGAAGGTAGATATATCTACAAAATGGTAATTCTGTTTTATTATTATTATTTTGTCTCCATCGTCATTTACTTCAAAGTGGTGAATCACCCATAGAAACCTTTACTTTTGATCGGTAAAATTTACGATTTGTGTGTGTGTGTGTGTGTGTGTGTAAAGGCGTATACATTTAAGCTAGTGGAAATGAAATTCACAGTTCTTAAGTATAATTTGTTTAAGATAAACTGTATTATCATTATAAAGTCATAATGATTTAAGTAGTCTGTACCTAAGACACTGAATACTACTGAATGAAATCTTATATAAACATGAGAAACAGACGAATGATGTTTAAGGCATCTTGAATGTGAACGCGTTATCGATTACCACTACTATTACTACTACTGTAACGACAGAAGACAAGGTCAAATCAAGAGGTATTCGTAGATTTCTATGTACATTATTTTTAGCGGAGAAGCAACCTCTTCTGATTCGTTGTTTACTTTCTGAAGGTTATCCTGTTATCTCTTTGTAACCGTTTCTCAGAAAATGAAGCCATATATCTACGAAGAATCATATTTCCACACGTTAACTCCGCTGTGATTGGGTGGTGATTTTCTCAGGGTTAAGCCTTGTCATTGCATTTCTCATGGCCCTGACCCTGATTAGGGACGTGAACATTGACGTAAATTGTTGTCTACAATTGACGTTGCCTCAAATATCGCAACCCGTGTCACCCAGTAATGTGGTTAGAGACGTCACCACTGAGCTAAAACTAATCCAGTAAGCATGCCACAATAATGAGTCTCCTAGATTGATGAGGCAGATTTGCAAATTGACAATAAGCATTCATTCAGCCACCACCTCTAAGAACTAGGAACATTATACCGTCTACCCCCTAGCGACCAATTATTATAGTTTTATTTCATTTATTTTGCCGACAAAAACCATTGTAATTATTCCTAGAGTGTATGTTTCACCTTTACCAAGAGACATAGGAATAGACAGAATTTAACTAAATGTCTAATTTTAGTTCAGTTTAGATTTTCCAGTCGACTGGCGCTTGAAACTCTGGGCATTGGATTCGAGCCTCGGTGGGGACACCATCACTGACTCACTGGGGAACACAGGTGCATCCAGATGGCGAGTCATTCCCAAGTAGGACGAAATGCGCATCTTGTGGGATTCCATTTTTAGTTACCATCCAGCAATTGACCTCAATGTTTACTTTTGTCGCAGAAAAGGATGTCTTAACTAAGAATGTTATCTTGCCACATTCTCTTTGGTTCCCAGTGATTCCCCATAAGCTTTCATTACCTCCTCTTCCTCTCATGATCTCCTCCATGTCACTCTCGGACGTCCAACTCGTAGTTTCCTATTCTGGTTCCACTGACCCGATGTCATTCGACGGTCTCCTCAGAGTATGTCCAGTTCATCTTCGTTTCCTTCGGCATATCTGTTGGACGATAGGTTCTTGGTTGGTTCGTTGCCTTTCAGAGTTCCCTGTTTTGCTTATCATTCCTGGCCAACCATCTGAACTTCAGTATGGAGCAAAGGTAGCAGGTATTGATGAAAGCTTGAGCAGCATTCTGTTGGAAATGCTTTTGGTGATGCATGTGTCAAGTCTCTTAATCATATAGAAGCAATGACTTCACATTAATGCTGAACATCCGGACCTTGTTCCTTATACTGAGTGCAGTAGATTCCCATACTGGTTTCAGGGTGAATGAAGGTCTATCATACTTTTCCTCTCCCGCCTTTGATAGCCTCATGTGTACCGTCTGCATAGGTGGAAGAAGTGACCTCTTGTAAATTCCTCTCAGTGATAGTATGACAAATGCTTGTTGGTCAGGTACCTTTATCACCTCTGACTTCTCTGTATCCAATTGAAGCCTTGTCTTCGCCACCTGTTTCTTCTTCTAACTTGCTGAATTTTCGTCTGTAGATCTTTGAGTTTCTGTGACACATATTATACATAAACCATTCATGAAATCCAGATTTTCCAGGACCTTTTCATCAGTCCAATGTATGCCTCCATCTTCTCGCTTCCCAACCATCTATTGCATGATCCATAGTTCTTGTTTTGGTTGGTAGGTAGGTAATTTTAGATGGTTGGAGGCGATCGGCAGGAAGCCTTGGACCTAGGTTTCGTGCTAGTTGGCACTCGTCACCAAGGTGTATCTGCAACCTTGAAGGAACTCATGTCCCTTCTGAGATTCGAACTTGCGTCACCCAGGTAATTTTCCATTCATGATATCGTTTAAAAACAACACATTGGAGATAACCTTTTATAAGTATACAAGCCTGTCATTTTGTATTGGTGGCTAAGTGGTAGAGTGCTGGCCGACCATGCATGTGGTTCGAGGTTCGATCTCCAACTGACGCATCCCTTTACTTCACTAAGCCAGTAATAAATAAATGGTAAAGAGTAAAAGTTGGGTATGAGCCTAACAATCCCATCCTGTAGAAGTAAACACCACTGCTACCGAAACTTCAAAGCTCTAGCCTGAAACCCTATGTTCCATACTAAAATAAAGTCTATCATTACATTTGATAACTTGTCACCTCTCTATGTGCATTGATAGTTTACCGATAGAATGCTCGTCAACGATGCACTTAGTCCGCGTTTCGACGCATACCTTTACCTCTCTCCTAGCCAGTTGTCGGTCGGTCGGTTTTCGACATAGAACTTTGCACATATGTGCGGCAGTTCAAGTCGCCACACTCCATGTAGCACACAAAGCAAGAGAAGAAAGTAGGAGAAATGCATAATATAGACAGTAAGTTGAGGCGTGAGACAAAGGTATAGTAATAGCGAAGAACAAAATAGTTCCATTGGAAATCATAAGTCACAAGGAGTGGATGCATCTGCGCCATTAAGAACGATTTTGAGCCATGTCACCAATTGTTTCCAACCAATGGTTTTTACCATCCCGAGGACCCCAACCAGGAGGTCTACACCTTTCTACGTGGCCTAGACTAACTGTTGTAGATTTCATTGACTGGTGCCATGTTTTCATTTGACCGCCTGTAGCTCTTTTCCAGCCTGACCCTATATCAGCTAACATTGCCCATTGTCGAGGAAGGCGATGACTAGGCATACGTAACACCTAGCCAGTTGTAAGCGACAGAAACAGGGCAGATTGGGTGTGTGTGTGCGCGTGTGTGAGGCTAGCAACTGGAACTCCAAAGCTCTCTAGCCAGAAACTCTATGCTCCACTCGGGACACAAAAGAATGAGATAAAATCACCTCTCTATAATTAATATTTTTACACTTTCTGTTAATGTTTCTTATTTTCTTCTTTCTTTTCTTTCAGGCACCAATAATACTAATACTACTTCGACAACTAATAGTAATCGTCAATTGAATCGACGTGACAGTTATCAAGATTCACTCAAAGATATGGCTGCACTTATGACTGATGTTGAATTAACCGATGACGTGATCAATGGTATGCGTAGACGTTTCGATTTAGATAAATGACACACACACATACATGCATACACAAGCCGTTTTTTCAATCATCTCCACTGCTTTGTTACCTCATTAAAAGATAATCTTGATAGTGTGTGTGTGTGTCTGCGTATGTGTGTGTATATTGATTTCAAATAATGAATACAGCACTACAGCACTATTTTAGCTTATAATTAGCTCCTCCTCCTCCTTGTTGCCTCTTTCCTCCCACATGCACGCCAAATCTCACACATATTTTGCTTTCTTATGTGATATTTTTTCTCTCTTCTTTTTTTGTTTTTGTAAAAAAATCTAATTAATAATCATAAAGACGAAGACGAATGATGAGTATTAGTGAAACTAAACATTAACATTTTATTTATTGAATGATTACTTTGTCTATCTTATATATTTACAAGATTAATTTTGTCCTCTGTACAAAAAGAAAAGCATAGCAACACAGTTGATTATGATGCATGCTTTCGTTTTTCAGTTTTTGCTATTTATCGCTCTCTCTATATATACATACATCTGCATATTCTTATTCAGCTTGCCTTGATTATTTATTTAATATAAATCTGTGATGGAATCATTAACTATTTTTGTGTTTTTATTGTTGTTGTTGTTGGTGGTGTAATCGTTGTGATAACGTTTCGACGATATATTTTGGTCGTATCAGTTTCAAGGTTATTTGTTGTGTTCTGACCAATCAGGGACGTATGTCTACTGTACTGTATTCTGATTGGTTACCGTCGTAAACAGTTTTTTGGTATTTACCAATATACCATTTCGAACCAAAATCCCTTAATGGTTTAATCCTGGAAACAAAATGCTTACTATAGCGTAATGATAAGATGCACAATAAGGCTTTATGGTTGATGATCTCTAATAGACGGCTGAGAGTGGGTGGTGGTAGGCTTTGATCTTCCTTCTCGAAATGCTCGTATGTGATGACTACACGTTCATAATAGCCACTACCAGATAAGTCCTGTCCATTTTCTTTATACAACAGAAGTATCTCTCATAGGAGTGGAAAGATGAATTCGACCGTCTGGCACTTACAACCGGACTGGTGGATATTTTGGTCTACCTAAAGGTTTCCGGAAAACCCTGACTCTATGGTGTACTTGGGCTTTAGAATTCGGAAGGGTTGAAGGGCGTAGAATGAATATGTTTTAGTCATCGGAAACCTAGGGAACTTATCTACTCCTGACGCTGTTCCACTGTCTTGTTGGTCTAACTTCAAGTCAAAGGCTCAGGGGTAAGTGTGGCCCCCATTGAGGCAACCACAAATGACAAGCGCCAACGTCATTGCGAATTGATTCCACTGGCTCAATGGTTTAAGAGCTCGCCTTGTAACCAGAAGGTCCTGGGTTCGAACCCCGGTGGATGCATAACGCTGAAGAGTCGCAAACTAGGACGAATCAGCTGTCCAGTACTCCCAGTTTTTATCTGTGTGCGTCGGTGGCACAGCGGTTAGGACTCTCGTCGACCATGCACATGGTCTGGGGTTCGATCCCCTGCCGGCGCACACCCGATATCAATGGGCGGTCTGCAAAATTTGGGCTACCGATATCACATGCTAAAAATTCCATACTTGTACCGAAAATACTGTGTGGTTTCAAGCTATTATCAAAAAAATGATCAACGGGGTTGCCTCATAATCCAAATGTCCCGGGTTTAATTGCTGGTGTGTCATTAACCAGCAGTGCTGACGGTTTCCTGTCTCGTTCTTTCTGCTGTTTTAATAGTTCTGTTACTGATTTCCACTCACTGCGAAAATTACCTCGTAATTAGTCAAATCCGTGGAAAACTTATCGATAAGAATTCTGAATCAGAAGTCAAGACAGACCACAGTTCCGAAAATGGCCTTGTTCTTACAACTTCAGTTCTTCGTGGATAACATCAGTGAGATATTAACACAACAGCTAAGAAATCCGGTAAAAAGGTCTAGATGATCTATCTAGCGTTATTCTTTGAAAAATGTGCAGATATCCTATATTTTCCCCTCTGGCTTTTTATGATGTCGGTATTCACAACTGACTGGATGACAGAATGGTTCCAACATAGATGTGCTGCAGTCTGATCTGCCACACTCCATTTATAACAAAAACAACAGAAGAGAGTGAACAGAGATTCAAAAGAGAGATAATAAACACATGGGTGAGGCGAAAAGAGTAATAGTAATATGGAAGAACAATAGAGTTTTATTAGATATGATAAATCACCAGCTGTCTTCAATCACCATGACTGGTTCTCACCATCCTGAGGACACCAACAATTCAGCCAGTCTACACCTCCCTATGTGGCTGCCTGGCTGGCTTAAACTAACTGTTATGAATTTCATTGACTAATGAAGCCAAGTTCTGGTTTGATCACCACTAACTCTTTTCCAGCCTCATCCATCCTATGTCAGCGGCTAACATAGACCATTGTCGAGGAAGGCGATGGTTAGTCTAGAGGCGAAGTTCAACAATAGCGTCCCAAGAGTTCGAACTCTCCAATGACCCTGAAAGCATGTTGGCTGACGGCACCTGTCATTATCATAGCTGAAATATTAACGCTATTTGTCAACTAAGCAGCAAGTCTCATTATTATTATTATATCCTTTAATTTCTACAGGAACATAGGGCTTCAGCCGTGCCTCTCCATTGCGTTCTCTTCTCTGCTAGAGTCTTCACCTGGCTCCAAGTCTGCCCACACGTTTTCATCTCCTCTTCACATGACCTCCTCCAAGTCACCCTTGCATTGACGACCAACTCGCCGCTTTCCTTTCGGGTTCCACTCGAGCGATGGCTTGGCGTGTGATGTCACTTGATGGTTTCCTCAGAGTATGGCCTCGAATCCATCTCCATTTCTTCCTGCCTATTTGTTTCACAATCGGTTCCTGGTTGTTTCACTCATTGCCAGAGATCCCTGTTGCTGATCTTTTCTGGCCATCTGATCTTGAGTATTGAGCGAAGACAACTGTTAATGAAGGTCTGTAGTTTGTTTGAGATGCTCTTTATGACGCACTGGCCAAGTCTCTGATCCATCCGTATAGTAGCACTAACTGACTTCACATTGAAGTTGAAAATCCGGATCTTATTTTTGATGCTGAGAGTTGTTGACCTCCACACAGACTTGAGAGTAGTGAAAGCTTGTCTTGCTTTTCCGATTCTTGCTTTGATATCCTCGTCAGTTCTGTCGGCCTGTAGTTGAAACGATGCTTCCCAGGAAGGTAAAAGAGGGTGTTTCTTTCAGGTTCCTCCCATTTATGCTGATTGTTGTCAGTTGTTGTTGCTGTTAGTGGTGTTGCCCAGGAATTTTCATCACCTCTGTTTTATCTATGTTCACCCGAAGTCCTATCTTTGATGCTTCTTCTATTGCGAACTTGTTGCTTTTCGTTTGCATGTCTTCCAGTTTGTGGGAAATCAGACATATATCATCGGCGAAGTCCAGATCCTCCAAGTTTGAATTCTGTATCTTTTCATTTCGTTTGCGATCTGGGCAGCTTTGCCAATCTCGTACATAGTACGGACATTCCATGTCCCCACAAAGACTTTTTCTTTTGTCTCAAGGAGATACATCGTGCTGAAGTTTCTGTAGCAGATTTGTTTACAGGGTGGGGTTGCTAGCCTCACGCCTTGGAAGGGGGATTGTTACATTAAATTATTATTTAGAGAGAAGCGACCTTGTGGGCTGCTCCCCTTAAAAACCAGGAAAACAGGGAATAAACAAGCAGAAAAACACCAGCACGGGAAAATAATTCACAACAAGAAGGGTTACAAGCAACAACAACAATAATAATAGCACAGTCAATTACAGTTAACCAAAATGATACCAAAATCATAGACTCACTGACATGAGCCAACTTGAACATGTAAATCCATCAATATATATACAATTATAGGTATTAGTTAGTGTTAATCAAGCACAGAGTGGCAGATAGATAGTTATAGGTGTTATTGATATACAATATTATATCCAAAGATTCAGTGTTTCAAAGTCAAATAATTGTAAAAGTTTTTCGCAACTTTTTGATAAGATATTCCACAAAAATCAGAGTTTTAGGTAACTATGCAAATGTCAACATACTAGTATATATATGTTAATATTGTTGTTGTCATTAGTATTATAATGGTTGTCGGAGTGATAGTTGTTACTCATTTATATCTATGTAATACACTTGTTGTTTAGTTTTGTTTAGTCTTTTTTTCAATTAAGACTGAAATTTCTCTTTATTCACTGAATGAGAATCATCAATTCATGACCGCGACATCACATTCGCAGTTTTCTATTGCAAACGTCTAAATTCATTTTGGTTAAAAGCCAATTGAATATGTCACGTTTTTAAGTACTGTTTGGATAATGTGTTAGTAGCTCGTTAGGGTTAGGATTAAGTTTAAGGTTAATATTGGGTTAGGGTTAGGACCAGGATTATAATTAGCATTAGGGTTAGAATTACGTTTTGGATAAGGGTTATGATTATGGTTAGGATTAAGGTTAGGGTATAAATTAGGGATAGATTTAGAGTTGATGTCATTTATTTTAATTTGTTTCATTATCCACATTTTCCTGGTAAGCAGTCGTCTATCCTCTTTCTGGAAACCATTGTTATTCAGCCGAGGGCTTTGGGGAGGACAGCACAACAGGATAAGAGAGATAGTTCACAAAAACAGCTCACCTCGATGAATACATGTACAGAAACTAGTCTAACGTAGCAACTGATACTCCTCATTATAACTGGGTCGTATTTTAAGTCATGTCAGAGAAAGATAACCTGTTTAATGTTTTTATATGCATTTTCTTGTAAATATGAGTTATTTTTTGTGCAAAAGTCACTTATTTTTATGACTGGTCGGCTGAAGGTCACTCGTGCGTTCACACCCCTTGGGACGCTATTGTTGGACTTTGCCAGTCTAGGCGTACGTAGCATATGTCCTAACCACCTCTCTCAATCCATGTAACTGCCTCACAGCCTCGTCGATTGATTTCCCCTCCTTGCCTAGCATTCACTCGACCGAGGCATAACCTCGATATTACTCACTCCATTATACCACCTGATAGAACTCAGATAGACACCTACAATCAAAGACAGACAACTAGCCAGGCTTCTTATTTCTCCCATTCTCAATGGTAGCCATGTCACACTAACATACATAAAGGAGGAGGACAGAGCGAACAGCTGAGCAGCACATACGCCTCTTTGATCGACAACCAGCCGGATATCACGTCTACTAAGCCAGTAATGGCGTTAAGTTGGCAAATAGGAGACAGACACTACTATAAGGTTTAAAAATAATCTTCAAATCCTTTCATCTGAATCAACAATATTAAATTATTAGACTGAAATTTCCACCTTTAAAAGAAATGACTTCTTATTCAGTTCAATAAATAATATATATTAGACAAATGCACTATTAATAAAATTCCAAGTTATATCAACGCTATTAATTGTGTTTCTTCTTCTTCTGTAGGTTACAGTTTAACCTTGACTGGTTATTGATTAATGATTCATACAGAAAGGCTGATTGGTTTGTCTGCAGTGTGTGTGTGTGCGTGTGTGTTTAAATACTATTAGAGGCATTTAAAATAAAAGCCTAC